CAGTGACAAGAGTGTTTACAATGGTCATATTTGATTCCCTCCCTTCCAGATTGACAGTCCTGCTGTCCAAATTTGCTTCTGTTGCTCCTCCATAGAGTGGAGACCCCCTAAGATGAGAGTTGTGTTACTAGCTCAATCACCAGATGAAAATAAAGGAAAACTAATGCAGCTACCAAATTTAAGAATTGGGAAGCTGCAATATATTGCATCTTTGTGTTCAGGTTTAATGCCACATTAATTGTTTGATCACTATACATGGTCCACCAAGGTAAAGCAAAGTATGGTGAATTATAAATACGCAAACTATAGTCATTTATTAACAAATATGTAATGGTGATATATAATATAACATGAATTGTGATATCAATATGAATGTTATATATGTAAATCTTCTCAGTATTTTCAAGACTGGATTCTCAGTATAACTCATAATATTTTTTGTGTAACATTTGGTTATATTTGCTTATTACATACAGGTATGCAGGATTAGGTAGCCCCTATGTAGCACTAAACAATTACTGTACTTCATGTGTCTGACGTGACTCAAAAATGTTTTCTCTGACCATTTTTTCATTTGGTTTTAGAGTGGGGTGAATGTTATAACCTCTGTCTGTGTCCATATCAGGAATTTTCATCCCGCCCTGTCCTGGTAACCAAATATGTTGAGTGGGGACACAGCAACACAAACAGCCATAAAACCTGGCAGAGATTATCTTCCTTTCTCTGTTAGAAAAATGTTTTAAAGGATAAGTTCATCTTTTGCAACATGGTACATGTTTCACCCATATTTAGGGTGGAACATGTAACATGTTCCCCCTCTTGCTGCCTGTTCCCCCTTATGGCCGCATCATTCATTCACAGTTTTTTTGTGATTAAATGAACTACAACTGCCGTTGTCTATCGCGGCTGACAGCTTATAGTTCTGAATGAATTACGAGGGCCCTGACGAGTGCTGTTGTACTTCATTGACAAGCCCTGCAGCTTTCAACAGACATCCCGCATGAAGGTATGGGCAGAAAACTGCAGGGCTTGTCTGCAGAAGCTTGACTATTGCACCCCTGATCCACTAACCACAGGTGCAATGCTTTCTAGGCTGCTGCAGGGAAAAATAATAAATACACATTTTTTTTCCTGCAAAAAAAAAGTGCTTTTATTATTTTTTCTTGAAATGTGAACTTATCCTGTAATGGCATCCGTGCCCCTTTTAGAGAGATTCTGATCACTTCCTGCCTCAGTGACCATATAGGAAGTGATAGGTAAATCCCAAACTCCTCCTTCCCCCATAAAAAAACTAAAAAAAGAAAAAAACCTTTTCTCACCTAAAGTCAGTCTCCACAAGGTATGAAAAACCTGCAAAATAACTTAGAGGGGTAGGAGGGAGGTGTGGGAAGGGGGTTCACTTTTGCCCAGAAACAGCTTTAAGAAATGGCAAAACAACCTAACGGAGGTTAACCCTTACCAACTAAAAACTTAGAATGTAGTGTTGGCTGGAGTTGCATCTTAACATACATCGGAATGCTGTCATTCCTGGCATCATTCTGAAACTGCTATTGGCCTGGCTGTTCTGATGCTCCCGCTTTATGGCTTTGAGTCACTAATCAAAAAAAAGTATAGAGATATGGAGATTTGAATTTAATTTGATATAAGTCTTTTCTGGGTAAGCGTGACGGCTTGTGAAACATTAGGTACAGTTTGATTTAAATCAAATGTGTTTGCCTGATTTAGTTTCCGTATAAAGGAAAGTTCTCTCACAAATCCTGGCTGCTGTTAACATCTAGTGCCACCTCTGGTGAAAATTGGTATTGACACATAGACCTCTATGCTAGGGGCATCTGCAAAACATCAAAAATTGTTTTGCATTGCATTTTACACAAAAACAAAAAAAGTGTGCAAAGTTTACTTGTTCATTTTCTTTAGAAAACGGCCACAGCTTGACTAAAAAAGTTTCTTCCCTGCCAGTGTGTTCTAGAGAAGTACTCTTGCACTTTGTGTGGAAGCAGGGATCTCTCTGCTGTGGTCCAACATGAGCCCTACTGAGTCTGACCTTTATATGTCTGCAATCAGCAAAGCTCATGCTCTATGCTTTTTGAAAGCTCTAGTTCTGACTGGGCAGGGGACATTTTTTTTTTTTTTATTTTAAATCTTGGTCATAGTAAAGAGAAAATGTATGTATATTATGTGTTTAATGCAGCAAAACTCACAAAGCTTCACTATAAGATAAAGTCCAAAACATAAAAATTCAACATAGTAAGATCTTCCACCAAATTATCCATGTGTACCACCAAATTATCTACATGTCCCAGTATCTCCATGCACCAATATATTCTATTACTGATCACCAGTGCTACTCATGCATACACCTCCCATAAACAATATTTGGTCACCGCCAGACTAGACCCTGATGGCTAGTCAAGGGTCACGTGCGCTTGTTCACGTTCTTCACATGCTGTAAGCAGGATGGCTCCAGATTCACTCCACCACAGATGGCTCCCACTGTTCCATGGATCCTCCACTCACATAAGGAGCATTATTTCATTCATAAAAGTAGAATAGGGACTGATAGTGGAGAGTAGAGTACTATCTGTCCCTATTCTTCTGTCATGAATTAAATACTGGTGGTGGACACTGATGGAATGAATCTGGAGACATCCTGTTTGTAGCCCGTGTAGGGGACACAGGTGCATGTGACCCTTGAATAGCCATCAGGGTCTAGTCTGGAGGTGAGCAAATATTGTTCATGGGAGGTATATGCATGAGTAGCACTGGTGATCAGTTACTTTTGCTGCATTATATACTGACGGGTGGAAGTAAACCTACTTTATGGTGCACACAGCAGCAACCTTATGTTTAATTGATTCATGAGCAGTCTTATGTTTATATGTTTGATTTTTGTGGTGTAAGGGGTAATCACATAGTGCCTGCACTGATTGATAATTTAGGTTTGGTTTATATTTTGTGTATACATTCATTTTTAGAGCAACCCTGTCACCGTGTCAAAGTGTCAGCTAGAATCTCCTTGTAAAATAAGCTGAATGCATACCTGTCTGTGGTACCTACCGATGGCTACAATGTTGCTACAGAACTTTGTAGTGACAAAGCATTCAGTGGGCGAGACCACAGAACTCCTTGAAGGACACACTTGTCTTATTATGATATGCTAGTTCTTTAGCTGTGAGCCATTTTTGTTAGTTTAGGCTTTTCAAATAATTTCCAAAATTCAGGTTTTTGTTGTTTAGATAGCAAAATCTTTAATGTATTCATCACAAACATTGTTCTTTGAGAGCAGAACCGCTGGCCTCAGCAAAGCTTACTTCTTACACAGAGCACATGTCAAACGGGGATTTTTAGCCAAAGTAATCCGGATTGCCGTTTGCATCAAACTGTACAGTATTTAATTCTTAAGTAGAAACTTCATAAAGTCAATGCATCAATATCCTGTGGTTTTATAGTAACAGTTCCTTTGTAATGTCATTGCAATCTGTAGGCAGTCAGGTCGATGAGAGGACAGGACCCAAAGATGAACTCCACAAGGACAAAGCGCTGATTCATGACATTCAGGAAAACAGCATAGAAACAGATTCTGTTTCAAAATTAAGTCAGCAGCCTGGGGGAACTGAAGAATTACTTTCATCTTCTGGTGTACTAGGTAAATTTCACCATTTTGTTAGCCCACGGCAATAAGCATTAATTATAAACCATAGCAATCAGCCTGTAAGTGTGGCTTTACACAGTAATGCATTTATTGTTCCTTGTAGAACTCTTTCAGTTTGAAATTTGTGCTCATATGGTTTGTGGTAGTACATAAAGGGTCAGCCCAGCCAAAAATGATTTATTTCTTAAAGCTGTTGGCATGGGCTTACTCTGTGTCTTGAATACTGTAACGGTGAGATCTCCCTGCTATGATTCCTAACTGTTGTTTACCTGGGAGTTTTTTTTTGGGGGGGGTGGGGTTCCTCCTTTTTTTTGTCTCCAACCTTACTGTTAAATTTGCCAGTAGCTTTCGCCAGTAGCTGAAGTTTTGGAAGGGCTTTTTTATTTTTTTGCATAGTAACATTGGTCCAACTTGGACCAGTGTAAGTGTGTATGTGTCATACCTGGCAGTGAACGCTGCAAGCATCCAGGTTCCAGGTCCTGTGCGCAGTGTAACTATGCAAAAAAAGCTATATCTAAAGTTCAGCTTAAAAATCCAGTGAGGAGGAAACACCTTGTAAAATATATTATAATAGCAACAGCAGGTGCACAAACCCAGAAACTCCTTTCCATACACCTCAACAAAATTATCCCCACCTGTGGCTGCACAGAAAGTTTTTTTTTATGTGAAGTCCACTGTTTTCTGAAACAATTCTACTGCTAATTCTACTGTGAAGAAGCAAAAAGCTTGTCATTTGGGCAACATGCACATGTCATACTGCACTGTACGTATGCATATATATTGTGTGTGTGTATATCTATATACTCATCTTATGGCCCAAAGTATGTGAACACCCCTCCAAATTATTTTTAGGTGTCTTCAGTAAAGGGAAGTCTTAATGATACAAAGTTGAATGTGCACATTTATCTAATGGTAAAGGAAAACCCTGTTCTGTTCCAGCATGACTGTACCCCTACGCACAATACTAGGTCCATAAAGACATGCTTTGACAAGTTTGATGTAGAGGAATTTGAGTGACCAACACAGAACCCTAGTTTAAACCTTACTTAAGTACCTTTGGGCTGAATTAGATCACTGATTGTGAAAACGTATTGTATAATATTAACTAGTTGCCGACCGCAGATAGCCGAATGACGGCTGCACTGCGGCCGGCCAGTTCTGGGTGGACGTCATATGACGTCCTCCCAGAACGTGCTCTCCTGCGTGCCCCAGGGGGCGCGCACCCGGCGATCTCCGTGATCGCTGTGTCCTACGGACACAGCTGATCACGTGATGTGGTAAAAGGCCAATCATACCGGCCTTTTACCACGTGATCAGCGGTGTCCAATGACACGCTGATCACAGGGAAATGCAAGTGCCGGTTCTCGGCTGCACTTTCCTCACACTGTCAGATCGTGAGGAAAGTACTGCCGAGAACCGGCAGTTGTCAGAGCGAGGATCGGCACCGATCATCAGGGCACTGATGATCAGTGCCCTGATGATGGGTGCCCAGCAGTGCCACCCACAAGTTCCGCCCACCTGTGCCCAGCAGTGCGCCCACTAGCTCCTCCCACCTGTGCCCAGCAGATCACCCACCTGTGCCACTCTGCAGTGTCACACACCTGTGCCCAGAAGTGCCACCTACCTGTGCCCAGCAGTGCCACCCACCTGTGTCCACCCACCTGTGCCCACCAGTGCCACCCACCAGTGCCACCCACCTGTGCCCACCCACCAGTGCTGCCCACCAGTGCCACCCACCAGGGCAGCCCAGCAGTGCTGCCAGTCAGTGCCACCAGTCAGTGCCCAACGGTTGTGCCAGTCAGTGCCGCCAGTCAGTGCCCAACAGTGATGACAGTCAGTGCCGTCTATCAGTACCCATCATCAGTGTCACCTATCAGTACCGCCTATCAGTGCTGCATATTAGTGCCGACTATCCGTGACACCTCATTAGTGCTGCCTATCAGTGCCGCCTATCCGTGCCACCTCATTAGTGCTGCCTATCAGTGCCCATCAGCCTATCAGTGCCCATCAGTGCTGCCTCATCAACGCACATCAGTGAAGGAGAAAAATTACCTGTTTGAAAAATTTTATAATAGAAACAAAGAAACTTTTTTTTTTTTCAAATTTTTTGCACTTTTTTAATTTATAGCGCAAAAAGTAAAGCGCCCAGTGGCGATTAAATACCACCAAAAGAAAGCTCTATTTGTGAGAAAAAAATTATCAAAATTTCATATGGGTACAATGTTGCATGACCGCGCAATTGTCATCAAAGTGCGGCAGCGCTGAAAGCTGAAAATTGGCCTGGTAAATAAGGGGGTATAGGTGCCTGGTAGGCAAGTGGTTAATGTCTGACATCACACATACTCTTTTGGCATGAATAAGCATGCTTCACACAAGTAATCCAAAAACGTGTGGAAAGGCTTCCAGGAGGGTATTGTCTTTTATAACTGCAAGGGGGTGGTGGAGTGGGCTTGGACACAACTCCATTATAATACCCATGGTTATAGAGTTGGATGTCCTGTAAGTTCACATAGGTTTGAAAGTCAGGTGTCCAAACCTTTGGCCATATACTGTAGCTTATTTCAAACATAGGGTTAATCTAGTAATGTAGAACAAATGACAGTAAAGGAAAGAAACTGGCTTCCAAGTTATAATAGCAATCAGACATGCTCATGCCCCTCCATCTCCCATGCCCCTTTTTTGCTATTGTACATAAACGTGCCTCAGCAATGAAACCTTCACACCCTCGAAGAACGATACTGCACAGAGCAGTCTCTTACTTCCTCTTTGGCAGTCCCCTGCTGGTGTTGCTGTCCGTTCCTCCCTCCTTCTGGTGCCTCCTAAGTAAACTGTGTGATAAGGAAGCACCCATACACACTCTTGAGACAGACTTTGTCTCCTCTCTAAACACACCGCATCGGAAAGCCACACCCCCACTCCCTCCTCACAGGAATGTGACTGAACACAGCAGGAGCCTTTGGGTCCCAATGCTCGGTGTCTCCTGTGAGGACGTAACAGTAGCATTGCTGCAGCTGAGACAGCCTTGAAGTGGCCACAGGAGTCGGATACGTGTTTATGAATGGAGTTGGGTAGGACAAGTAGTGGGCAATAAATGCATTAAAGATTAAAGTAAGAAAATTACACCATAAAACTGCTTTAAGCCACTTTGTGATGTGTGCTGGCTTTCCTACCAGGGGTTAGGTCTAAAGAGCTGCACCCTAAACTTTTTTTTTTTTTTTGTTAATTTGGGTAGAGTGGGGAAGGAATAACCTCCGTCAGGTGTTCAAGATGGTCTATGTCTTTGCTGAGGTGGTTTACCGTCATGTCATGTTATAGTGACTTTGGTCACTGGAGCATACCATGAGGGGAAAAATTAAAGCGTTTACTGTTGTCACCAGAACATGTGAGCAGAAATCTCCAGTGACAACTGTTAGAGATGGTATTTCCTTCTCTTGTCTCCAGAATAGGAAGTGAGAAGAAATCTTCCAAATGAGCCCACAGTCTGCAATAAAAAGTTCTGACTATCTTCATTCTGTCCAAAATTTTTTAAAAACAGCTTCTTCATTGTCGATTGAAGAACACATGAAGTCTTTAACCTTCTGCTTATACAGTTGCCTGCAGTAGGATTGGACATGGGCAATCAAACTGTAGGCCAGCCTAGGATAGTCCCTCCTGCCACAGGCTTTTTCTCCAACCTGTTTACCATTCCCAAGCTACCTTAATTAGTCTTGAAAATCTGTAAGGAACCCACCAAATTAGTCATTGTGACCCTTTAGCAGCTAGACTTTGTGGCTTCTGTGGACATCAAAGATGCTTACCCACGTCTTCATCTTTCCAGCAAATCCTACACTTTGCCTGGGGCTACTGTCATTCAAGTTAGTGGCCCTGCTCTTTGGCCTCTTGTCTGCACCTTGGTTATTCACCAAGGTGCTGGCCCCAGTACTAGTTCTTCTGTGTTCTTATGGATTCCCCATTGTGAGATACTCGACAACAGCTGGATTGGACATTGAGATGTTTACCATCCAGATGTTAGGATTTAGACAGATCTTGAACCTTCCGGAATAGTCTCTAGTACCAAAATTCATCATTTGAAGTGTCTGGGTTTAATCCTGGACACATATTAGGCCAAAGTGCTCATTTCACAGAAGAAACTTCTGACATTCTAGTGTCAGGTTTGTACTCTACAATCTAGGAGTGGTCAAGCTCTCCACTTTTGCATGGGGGTCCTAGGTTTGAGGGTAACCCCTTTTGAGGACGTCCTGTTTGTCTTTTGAGTCTATTGGAAACATTTCTCTGGTGTTTTTTGCAGTCATCACCTTTTGTGAGTGTAAATGGGTGCTGCAGTGACCACCTACTGGAAACTGAAGACGTTCATAGTGAGAAGTATGTTACCAGCACACCGAGGATCTCCAGAATGGGTCCAAAGCTTTATTCAATAATCACATTGTAGTGATGACCGACCCCATCATCAGGCATGTGATAATGTCACCTTTGTAACAAAAATGTGATCAATGAAAAAAAACTTTCGACCCTTTCTTACAATCCTTAATGTGTTGGTGATGTAGTTGTCACTCTGTCTGAAATGGTCGTACCCTGCAAGGAGCCCATTTTGCATTTTGATTCTCCATAGTGACCAGGTGGTATTGAAGCCAGGACTTCTAGCTTAAACTAGTTTTTGCCTTTTTCCTTAACTAGGGCTTAGTATTTTCATCACTCTGTCCAGCTAAGGTTCACCAGAAGAAAATATCCCTCTACTGTCTAGATGTGTTTTCGGCTTTTGGTCTGTCTCTCAGCCCTGGTTCACACCAGTGCAGCTTTTGAAGTTGCGCTACTTCAGCGTAAAATCAAAGCCGACTCAGTGTGATTTAGTTGCAGCTTGCTGACAGTCTTCAACTTAATTTAACAGATGTCAATACAAATCGCAATGAAGTCACGCAGAAATAGTGCAGGAACTTTTTTCAAAGACTCTGTAGTTTGAGTCACACCAATTTGAATGATTCTATTACTGAAAATGGGGTGCGACTTATCATGTGACTTTGAACTGTCATTTCACATGACAAGTCGCACTGGTGTAAACCAGGGCTCAGCCACTGCTTCTTTCAGGAAGTCAGATTTCAATTTTATTTTTACAGATGGACTCTGAAAAGGTATACTGGCTTCTTCCACATCTCTAGGTGGCACAGGCAGACCATCATCCCAGCTAATCTGGAAAACAGTTGCTTGAGCTTTTCCATTTTTTTTGTTTCCCAGTGTCCAATTCTCCTGTAGTGGTAGTTTGTCTTCAAGGTAAAATACTACTTGTGTGACACTACAAAAGAATTTTCAGCAAGTAATAAAATTCTCTTTGCCTGGTGTTTCTACTTTAATATTGTAGATAAATGCCATTAAGTGTTTTTGGTTTTCTTCACCTAGAATCTTGCTGTGATGCATTGCCTGAAAAGTCTTTGTTGGTCTCTGAGGCTTGCAGTACACCTGAATCCCCACCCTGTGGAAGTAGTATTGTTAAAGTGCCTTCTGGTATCTTTGATGCAACAGGTAGAAAAAGCAGTAGCGGTAAGTTTTCAAAAATATTCAATAAGCCTTATGTAAGAGCTTATGGGAAAAGTTTTAATCTTGTGAGTACACATGAAATAACATGGTTTATAATTAATGTGGTATATACATTAAAATCTCTTGGTGCTTTATCACTTTTTTTTTTTTTTTTAAATCAGATATTTTTTTATTAATTGAAGTATGGATCCATGTACAAATATAATCAGACAACCACAATCTCCAACTGAGTGTAGCCTTATTATCAACAAGTTACGTCGTTATGATATAAAAGGGGTACAAAAGTCATGTATACCAAAGATATAACCATAGATTCCAGACCACAACATTTTCTAGATCCTTTTTTTGAAAGAGGAATAAAAAAAAAACAGATTTCAAAATAGGCTGGGAAAAAAACTGAAGGAAATTTAAAATAACATGAGTTATAAAATCAAAATAATTTTTAACAATTTGACAACAACAAAAACAAGAACTAAAAACCAGCCTTCTTTGAACTTCTTTTGCCAATAGTAGAGTTTTACTGTACGGATACAGCTATATCCCAATTCCTATTCAAAGGTTGATGGATGGATAGTTATCTCACACATGACCCAATGGGGTTCCACCGCTTAAAAGTCTGCCCTTATCTAATTGTGCTGGTGCTAATAACGGTGTCCCCAACCAGGCAAACCAGACTATTGTAAAAATCTGTGCACATCCTCTGTGCTGATAAACTAGTTTTTCTTTAATCTGAGTATCATTGACCACTTTATATCGAATATGGGAAGGAGGTGAGGCGATAACCATTTCTGAGCTATAAGTTTCCGAGCAATAAACAGCACTCTAAGGATAACTAATATAGACATGTGGAGTAAACAGTTCCTCATCCAACATTCCCAATAGACAAAGCTTGGGATCTAATGGTACATTAAGATTCCAGATTTTATTGATCATTGTTATAATATGGGACCAATATCTTACGAATTTGGGACATTTCCATAGCATATGGATAAGCGTCCTGTTATGAATTTCACATTTGTGGCAAAGGGGAAAGTCCCTCCTATTCTAAGCATATAGCCTCTGAGGAGTGCGGTAAGTGTGGTGGATAATAAAGAGCTGGGTAAGCTTCTGCGCTGGGGACAAGGAGACTTTAATTACATTTTCAAATATGGTGGACCACTCCTCGTTGGAAATAGTATCTAAATCAGTCGACCATTGTGTTCTACCATTAAGCAACATTGTCTTAGAAACTTTGAGCATAATGGATTGGGAAATCAAAGATATTTGACCCTTTCTTGTGGTTGAAGCTATAGTTTAAGTACTACCGGTTCAGTAAATGTCAATGGAGAGGCTTTAGATTGTGCAGTAATGGCTTGTCTAAGCTGTAGGTACTGGAAAAAGAATTGCTAGGCAAATCATGCTCAAGCTGCAAAGCACAGAAATCTTTCAGTAATTGACCATTATATAATTGTGGTACCGTATTTTCCGGCGTATAAGACGACTGGGCGTATAAGACGACCCCCTACTTTTCCTGTTAAAATATAGGGTTTGAGCTATACTCGCCGTATAAGACTACCCCTCTTCCAACGCACACCAAATCAAAATGAAAAAACATCAGATTTGATTTCAATATGGCATGCTATTTCAGTATGGTATTCCAATGATGGGGTGCTATTCCTCCCACTGACACCAATGATGGGGCACTATTTCATCCACTGACACCAATGATGGGGCACTATTTCATCCACTGACACCAATGATGGGGCACTATTCCTCCCACTGATACCAATGATGGGACACTATTCCTCCCACTGACACCAATGATGGGACACTATTCCTCCCACTGACACCAATGATGGTGCCCCATCATTAGTGTCGGTGTGTAAGGAATAGTGCGCCATCATTAGTCAGTGGGAGGAATAGTGCCCCATCATTAGTCAGTGGGAGGAATAGTGCCCCATCATTAGTCAGTGGGAGGAATAGTGCCCCATCATTGGTGTCAGTGGGAGGAATAGTGCCCCATCATTGGTGTCAGTGGGAAGAATCGTGCCCCATCATTGGTGTCAGTGGGAGGAATAGTGTCCCATCATTAGTGTCAGTGGGAGGAATAGTGTCCCATCATTAGTGTCAGTGGGAGGAATAGTGTCCCATCATTGGTGTCAGTGGGAGGAATAGTGCTCCATCATTGGTGTCAGTGGGAGGAAATAGCGGCCCATCATTGGTATCAGTGGGAGGAATAGCACCCCATCATTGGTATCAGTGGGAGGAATAGCACCCCATCATTGGTGTCAGTGGGAGGAATAGCACCCCATCATTGGTGTCAGTGGGAGGAATAGTGCCCCATCATTGGTGTCAGTGGGAGGAATAGCACCCCATCATTGGTGTCAGTGGGAGGAATAGCGCCCCATCATTGGTATCAGTGGCAGGAATTGCGCCCCATCATTGGTGTCAGTGGGAGGAATAGCGCCCCATCATTGGTATCAGTGGCAGGAATTGCGCCCCATCATTGGTGTCAGTGGGAGGAATTGCGCCCCATCATTGGTGTCAGTGGGAGGAATTGCGCCCCATCATTGGTGTCAGTGGGGAGGAGAAGTAGTGCCCCATCGGTGGTATCAGTGAGAGAATAGTGCCCCATCGTTGGTGTCAGTGGGAGGAATAGTGCCCCATCATTGGTGTCAGTGGGGGAGGAATAGTGCCCCATCATTGGTGTCAGTGGGGGAGGAATAGTGCCCCATCATTGGTGTCAGTGGGGAGAATAGTGCCCCATCATTGGTATCAGTGGGAGGAATAGTGCCCCATCATTGGTATCAGTGGGGAGAATAGTGCCCCATCATTGGTATCAGTGGGGAGGAGGAATAGTGCCCCATCATTGGTATCAGTTGGGAGAACAGTGCCTCATCGTTGGTGTCAGTGGGGGAGGAACAGTGTCTCATCGTTGGTGTCAGTGGGGGAGAGGAGCGGCTGCTCCTTCTTCCAGTTCGGCCGCTCGATTTTCGCGGGGCCGCTCGGCTCCGCCTCCTCGCCGGTGATTGGTCGCCTGTGTGCCTTTCCACTGCTGGCGCCCAATCACCGCTGAGGAGGCGGAGCCGAGCGGCCGCGTGACCATCGAGCGGCCGAACTGAAAGAAGGAGCAGCCGCGCTTCCTGGACCGGATCGTCGTGGGACCGGAGCCAGGTAAGGTACAGCAGCCCCTCTGCCCACCCCTGTACTTAGTGTCCGTTGGAGGAGGAGGGGTGCGGCGCCGCGCCGCCCCTCGAAAAAGTGCCGCCCTGACACCGGCTCGCACCGGCGTATAAGACGACCCCCGACTTTTCAGAAGATTTTCAGGGTTGAAAAGTCGTCTTATACGCCGGAAAATACGGTATATATCTAACTCCCATCATCATCCACCCAGCAAAGCCCTGCAGCTTCTGCAACTCAGAATAATTAACATTATGAAAAATACGAGTGAATTAAGTATAACCCAAATACTGGACAAGACATTTAGCTTTGGACCAAACTCTATCAATCAACACCAAAGTGGGATACTGTGACATATTTCTAAACTTGCCCACCTCCAAACATTCCACCAGATTATCACTGGAAAAAAAACACCCATTAAGAGCGGTTTAACAGTGTCTGCATGGTTACCGTCCTGCCAAGCAGTAAGATGTTGAAGTTGTGCAGCTATATAATAGTAAAATGGATTAGGTACCGCCAATCCCCTGCCTCTCTAGATTCCTGTAATTTTTCCCGTTTTATACGAGGAGAGCGTTTTTCCAAATCAAAGATCGGAAACCGGTATCAAACTGTTTGAAAACATACATAGGGATCCAGTTTGGTGCATTATGCAAAACGTATAATAATTGAGGGACCCAGATCATTTTTATGAGGTTACACCTACCAACCACCGAAAGCAGTAGTTTGTTCCAACTAAATCGTTTCTGTCTGAACTTAGAAGGAGAGGGCAGAGATTAAGCTGGACATATTTAGACAGGGTAGGATGGATATGAATTCCCAAATTACGGAAGGAGTTCGTCACCTGGATTTGGGACGCAACGTGGTACAGGGGCTGGAATCAGGTCTAAGCGTAATAGGGTAGATTTATCCCAATTAATCTTGAAACCAGAAAAGGATCTAAATGTATCAATAAGGGACGTCAATCTCATAAGGGAGTGGGACATATTGCCCAAGAATAGTAGAGCATCACCTGCGTATAAAGCTATTTTTTCTTCGACCTCACCTCATTTAAACCCCTCTATAGTCTGGTCTTCCCTAGTAGCGCTGCCAATGGCTCTATCGACAATGCAAAGAGAAAGGGCGATAATGGGCATCCCTGTCTCGTACCTCTGTGTAGTAGTGTAAAGGAGGAAGATAAAGCATTATTTACTCATATTCTAGCAGTGGGAGACCTATAAAGCCTAGGGATAAACTCATTCCCCAAATTAAATTTATCAAGAACCTTGCCATAAATAATGCCATTCCAGCCTTAGTGGCATCGAGTGAGAGAATGGCTCTATTACCCATATTGTCGGTAGCTGCAAATTAAGGTATAACCTGCGAAGATTAATGGATGTCGATCTATTGGGGATAAATCCCGACTGATCCGGGTGTATGAGTTTAGCAATTACTTTAGAAAGCTGTTTTGCAAGCACCTTTGTAATAATCTTCAAGTCAGTAGACAACAGGGAAACAGGGCGGTATGATTCGGCCTGAGTAGGGTCCTTCCCCTGCTTTGATAGAACTACGATGATCGCCTCATTCATGGAAACTGGGAGAGTGTCCTGTGCCACAGTGGTCCTAATTGTCTGCAAGAGCTCTGGGAGCAGTATTTCCCCGAACATCTTATAATCTTCTATGGGCAGGCCGTCACTACCTGGAGACTTGGAATTATCCAGAGATATTGGAGCATTTAGATCTTCCTAACTGCCACCGAGAGCTGCGGAAGACTCACCCCAGCAAGGAAGTCAGCGAGCCTATCCAGGGGGTAGGATGATTTAGAGGAGTATAAGGAAGAGTAAAATGAGTTAAAGCCCTGTAGAATGGTATGAGTGTCTGTAGCCATCTGTGTTGGAGACAATTTTAGTGCTGAAACTGGTTGACAGTTGTTGAGACTTTGCTATAATTGCCAATAAGTGACCTGTTTTTCCCCTTCCTCAAAGAAGGTCTGAGAAGCAAAAAAACTTTTATTTTCCTCCTGTTGCATTTGTATGGGCTTTATCACTTTAAAACCGTGAATTAAGACCAATTTCACACACATATCCTCTCACATTTAGGACATTATATGTCAGGTATCTGTAGAACAGTTTTCCAGGTTCCCAGCAATTGGTATAGCTGTAAAAAAAAAAAAAAAAAAGAAAAAAAAAAAAGGCCACTGTATACTTCGTCTCCACTTGAAGACGTCACCCAGGCTTCGGCTAACATGTTTTGTCACCAGGTACGTGACTTCCTCAGATCCCTTAAGGGATCAAGCGTGCTTTGACCTATTGGAACATATAGGTCAAAAAGAGAAGGTGAAAGCAAATCTGATGTTTGAGCACAAGTGGTGGAGGAGCGTGAATAGAGGAAACACCTACAGTGTTTTTTTTTTTCTCCTGCACAGTGTGAAGTGTTTTAACAAAGATGCAAAGAGAGACTGCTGAACGCACAGTATAAAATGAAGTGATTATCAAAGACAGAGACATTTTTTTCATTTCAGGTTTTTTTTTTTTTTTTTTTTTTTTTTTTTTGTGATATATATTTTTTATTATCATATTGGACTATTGTATTGGGTTATTTAATTATGGGTGTATATTGTGTAAGCATTTTTGGAAAGGAATGGCGCAACACTGGTTGTCACATATATACAGTAAATGTTAGGAATGTTGCTGTATTTGTACTGGAAGGAACATCCTAACTTTGAATTCGGTTGAATAGACAAAAAAAAAAAAAAACAAGGGGAAACTTTCCCAAGACAGGGATAAAAACATGACCAAAGTTCTAACCCCTCCCAAATTTGACCACCTAGGAAGACAGCAAAATTCATCCCAATGGAGATAGAGCAACAGCAACATATCTCCACCATAACAAAAAAAGCTATTGTTGGATTTTCATGTTTAATGGAGGACCATTGAGTGATTATAAAGCTTTCCTGAACAGTAAATCATTAATACTAAACTTCACAAGACTCTGTTAAGTAGTAGAACAAAATAATTAAAGTGTAACTAAAGGCAAAACATTATTTTTCTGTTTTGAAAAAGTGGAGAGGGATTAGAACACCTGTCAGTTTTTATTGTTGTCTGTGCCCCCATTGGGGATGTTCACTCTCTATTTGGCACGTGTACGGTTATCATCAAAAGTAAAAAGATAATCTCAAAATTTAGGTTGACAACAGAACACTAATAGAGGGGAACTCTTCCAATGGGGTCACTAGTTCTGGTGACCCTGTTGACACACTGGGATCCCATCACTTTGGAGGAATTTCCTCTTGCTTCTTCTTTTGGCTATGGGACAGGATCCCATCACTTTGGAGGAATTTCTTCTTCTTTTGGCTATGGGACAGGAAGTGAAAGAAAATCTCCCCAATGCGACACATATGGGAAAAAAAAAAGACAGGATTTTTAACTCTGCCATACTCTATCCATAATGAAAAAAAGTTTTCACTTTATTGTGTCATTCGCATTATACTGTAAATGGAGTGGCCTAATTCATTTATACTTGTGTTGCTAAAGTAGGTGCTACGTGTGTATTTTGGTTACAGGTACCCTGCCAACCCATTTACCCACAGTTCAAGATTCTGCTGATGACTCTGTTTTTCTAAGTGAAGGCCAGAGTAAGAAATCTGAAGAAAAGGCCCAGAAAAGGCAGAAGGTGTTTACAGAAAGAAGCTGCAGCTTCAGTGCGGAGAGCAGGGCAGGCATGATGCTGAAGAAAGGCAGTCTAGACATCACAACCAATGAGATGGCTATGAAGATGGGAGCAGATGCCAAGATCCTTACAGCAGCACTTTCAAAGACCCCACCACATCCACAGACAAGCAAGCAGTTCAGTTTTGA